GCGTGCGGCGGGGCGGGGCGTGGTGCGGCGCGGTGGTGGCGGGCGGATGGGCGCGCGAGAAAGAGGCCCGCGCTGGGGCGAGAACGCCATCCTGAACGACGGAGGCCAAACACCGATCCGAAAATGAGGCCCACGCTGCAGCGGGAGCACGATTCGGAACGATTCGGGAGCAGAAATGAGGCCGGCGCCCCAGCGAGAGCAGCATTTTGAAAAAAAACGCAAGCGAAAACCCAACTCCCGGGAATCCTGTGTAAAAAAACAGTACGCGGGGGGGAGTCGAATATTTCCAGGACGCCATCAGGGGAAGAGGGAGAGTAGTATTCATATTGAGTAATTGTGGAGGGGGAGGAGGTCAAAAGAGACTCTTCTGGCGGGGGCGGTGCCCACGCCGAGAGCCTCGCCGGGGCGGGGGCATGCCGGACAGGGTCCTCCCGAGGCGACGCCGGCGCCCGCCGGGGACTCGAGGAGGGTGCGCTCTCGGCCTGGTGGTGGTGGGGGTGGGGGGCACGTCCCTCTCGGCCCTCCTTTCCCTGGTCGCCGCTTCTTCTTCTTCTTCTTTTTCTTCTTCTTCCTCCTCCTCCTCCTCGCCATCTTTGTTTGTGTGTCCTGCTTCTCCTCCTCCTCCTCGTGCTCCTCCTCCTCCCCCTCCTCCTCCTGATGCTCCTCCTCCTGCTCCTCCTCCTGCTTCGCCTCCTCCTCCTTCTCCTCCTCCTCCTCCTCCTCCTCCTCCTCTTCCTCCTGTTCCTCCTGCTCCTCCTGCTGCTGCTCCTCCTCCTTTTCCTCCTGCTCCTCCTGCTCCTCCAGTTCCTCCTGCTCCTCCTATTCCTTCTGCTACTCCTGCTACTCCTCCTGCTCCTGCTCCTGCTCCTGCTCCTCCTCCTGCCTCCTGCTCCTGCCTCCTGCTCCTGCTCCTGCTCTTTCTCATTTTTCTCCTCCTCCTCCTCCTGTTCCTCCTCCTCCTCCTCCTCCTCCTCTTCCTCCTCCTTTTTCCAATTATTTGCATGATTCCGATTACTAGTACTATTCATGCTGGTGTGTGTCTTTTTCGTTTTCGTATGTTGCTCATCATTGCTATTCTTGTTAGCGGTCGCATCAGTATTAATACTACTAGTCGCATTATCATTGTTATCATTAGTATTAGTATTCGAATTATTCGTGTTCTTATGATTCGTGTTATTCCATTCGTCGTATTAGTTGCCTGATGATCGTTGTTAGTGTATTATAATGCTTATTCTTACTATGTGTTTCTTTTGGTCATTACCATTACTATTTGTCCTCGTCCTCCTTCTCCTCCTCCTTCCCCCCCCCACGCGGGCCCAGCACCTTCAAGGCCTGGGTGTGCGGGCGGCTCACGCCGAGACCCGCCCCACGCCCTTCAACAACTCCACGTCAACGGCAGCGAAGCAATCCCAAGAGGCAACGATTCGACCTCTCGAGGGGGGGGCCCCATTGAGTGCCCCGCCGTGTTTTAGCTATGGGTCTCCAAACCCCATGTACCCCCAAGACGGCCCCTGCTCGTTCGCTTGCCATCTTATCCGCCCCACCTCCTCCTTCTCGCTCGTCCTTCCCCGTGCCTTTCCTCCTCCTCCTGCTCCTCCTGGTCCTCCTTGTCCTCCTGCTCCTACTGCTCCTGCTGCTGCTGGTGCTGCTGCTGCTGCTGGCGCTGCTGCTGCTGGTGCTGTTGCTCCTCCTCCTCCTCCTCCTCATCTTCCTCCTCCTCATCATCATCCTCGTCCCCTTTCTCCTCCTCCTGCTGCTGCTGCTCCTCCTCCTCCTCCTCCTCGTCCTGGGCGCGGCCTGGGAGACCACCCGGAGCGCTCCGGGAACGCTCCAAAAGGGGCCAGCAGGAAAGCCACAGGAGGGTCCGACACGGCCCAAGAGCGCTCCAAGGCGCCCAAGATGGCTTCTCCACGGTTTAAGATCGGGCGTTGGCAGAACTGGGCTTAGTGGGACCTGGTTTAGTGATGTGCACTAGGGGACGCCCCCCCCGCCCCGGTCCACTAACAAGAACTGCCATCCCCCCAAAAAACACCAATTACGGCAGACCTGGTTTATGATTCTGGCGAATTTAGGGGCTCCGGGGCCCTACCACTAACCGGGCCCCCTTACCTAGGGTCCTGACTATACCCGACAAGAACGCCCCCACAGGCTCCAAAGGAGGCCCCGAAGCCAAATTGGTGACATGAGCGTTCTCGCATGTTCGGCCTTCCGACGATCCAGAAGGGCGAAGAGGGCACCCAAGAGGCCCCCAAGAGAACCCAAGAGGGTCCCAAGACTGACCAAGAGGCCCCCAATTGTCAATGATAATGATGTTGAGCACCTTTTGTCTCCACGCTGCACAATTCGCGTACACGATCAAAATGAAATGACGGAATGGTCCACCTCACAAAAACAAATCTGAATCACGGAAACCCCATGTCAAGGCCTGGTGCACATCTGCATTGTTCTATTTGCTGGTTCCTCGAAAGGTGATCCCCTGAGTCATTTGAACACAAGCGGCGTCGGCGAATTCGCCGGCTCAAGGGGCCAGAGGCGTGCTAAGATCTCCCGTAACAACTTTAGAATATTTCAACTTCGCGCGCGCGCGGGGCGGCAACTGGGGATCCCCGGACGCAAAGTACCGCGACGGACTTCCGGCAGACTCCAAGTCAGAGATGGCGGAACTCCAGGGCGCTGTTCTGGCGGCTCCCGGATCGCTCCAGAAGCGCCCCAAGGAGGTTCCAGAGGGCTCCGAGTCGCACACAGATCGCTCCCAGATGTCCAAGATGGCCTCCAGACAGCCAGACGCCTCCGAAAAGAGCCCCAAGAGGCAAACATCGCTCATTGCTCCAAGAGCCCCAAGACTGGCCAAGGCGGCCTCAAGATTGCGCTTTTTTCCCTTACAGCGAAGACTGATAGGTTTCTAGTGGGCTCAAAAAAAGCATCTTGACTCCCCAGGGGGGTCTGGGTGGATGCCGGGGAGAATCCGGGCACTCCCCGGGACTCCCTAGGGGAGTCTGGGCGGGTGCCGGGAAGGATCCGGGGACTCCCCAGAACACCATTCCCAGGCCACATTTTGAATGCCCAGAGCCAACTGTAGGCCACTTCGTTCTCTTCGTGTTCCAAGAACACCATTCCCAGGCCACATTTTGAATGCCCGGAGCCAACTGTTGGCCACTTCGTGTTCTTCGTGTTCCCAGAATACCATTCCCAGGCCACATTTTGAATGCCCGGAGCCAACTGTTGGCCACTTCGTGTTCTTCGTGTTCCCAGAACACCATTCCCAGGCCACATTTTGAATGCCCGGAGCCAACTGTAGGCCATTTCGTGTTCTTCGTGTTCCCAAAACATCATTCCTGTACCATACTTTCATTGCCCCGAGCCAACCGTGGGCCACTTCGTGATCTTCGTGTTCCCAGAACACCAGTCCTGTGCCATATTTTGAATGCCCGAGCTGAGGCAGGCTGAGGCCGAGGCAGGCTGAGGCTGAGGCTGAGGCTGAGGCTGCCGAGGCAGGCTGAGGCTGAGGCTGAGGCAGGCTGAGGCTGAGGCAGGCTGAGGCTGAGGCTGAGAGGCTGAGGCAGGCTGATGAGGCTGAGGCAGGCTGAGGCTGAGGCTGAGGCTGATGGCAGGCTGAGGCTGAGGCAGGCTGAGGCTGAGGCCGAGGCTGAAGGCAGACTGAGGCTGAGGCTGAAGCAGGCTGAGGCTGAGGCTGAGGCAGGCTGAGGCTGAGGCTGGCTGAGGCAGGCTGAGGCTGAGGCAGGCTGAGGCTGAGGCTGAGGCTGAGGCTGAGGCTGAGGCTGAGGCAGGCTGAGGCTGAGGCTGAGGCTGAGGCTGAGGCTGAGGGCTGAGGCTGAGGCTGAGGCAGGCTGAGGCTGAGGCTGAGGCAGGCTGAGGCTGAGCTGAGGAGGCAGGCTGAGAGGCTGAGGCCGAGGCAGGAGGCTGAGGCTGAGGCTGAGGCTGAGGCTGGCCGAGACAGGCTGGCTGAGACTGAGGCTGAGGCTGAGGATGAGGCCGAGGCAGGCCGAAACTGAGACAAGGTGAGGCTGAATGGGGGGGGGGGGAAGGGAGGGGAGGGGGAGGGGGGGGAGGAGGGGAGGCCGAGGCAGGCTGAGGCCTGAGGCAGGCTGAGGCCGAGGCAGGCTGAGGCCGAGGCAGGCTGAGGCTGAGGCTGAGGAGCCGAGGCAGGCTGAGGCTGAGGCTGAGGCTGAGGCTGAGGCTGAGGCAGGCTTAACTAGGCTGAGGCAGGCTGAGGCTGAGGCCGAGGCAGGCTGAGGCCGAGGCAGGCTGAGGCTGAGGCTGAGGCTGAGGCAGGCTGAGGCTGAGGCTGAGGCTGAAGCCGAGGCAAGCTGAGGCTGAGGCTGAAACTGAGGCAGGCTGAGGCATCCGTAGGAATCCATAGGAATCCTTAGGAATCCCTAGGAATCCTTAGGAATCCGTAGGCATCCTTAGGAATCCGTAGGCATAGTTAAGCATCCTCAGGAATCCTTAGGAATCCTTAGGATTCCCCAGGAATCCTTAGGAATCCCTAGGAATCCCTAGGAATCAGGACTCCTAAGGATTCCTAAGGTTTCCTCAAGATTCCTATGGATTCCTAAGGATGCCTAAGGATGCCTTAGGAATCCCTAGGAATCCTTAGGATTCCATTGGATCCTACGGCCGTTGCCACTGCGACTGTCATTGCGAATGCGACTGCGACTGCGAGAACAGCAAAATTCTACAACTGGATTCTCACCTGAATCGTAAAGGGAATGCTTCCAGATATGCTTATACACATCACTATTAAGTTGCTTTGCCGGGATAATTTTCCGAGGGGTTCGTGCCCCAACGGAGATGTACCGTGACTGGCGCGGGCCAGGCATTTGCGCATGCACAGCTGGCGCGTAAACGCACAATCGTGGAACTCGGCCGCCAGGGGAGCTCTCGCCGCTTGCGGGCGCAGAAGCTGCAAACAACAACATGCTGCCAGCGAGCTGACTTTGTCAATCCTTGTGGCCTTGGACCGTGAGCGCGACCCGTGCTCAGATTGCTATCAAGACAGGCGGCAGGGAAATGAACAGGGCGCTCAGCCCAAGTCCCGTCGTCCGCGAACGCGACCACCGGAATGCTGTCGCCGTCGCCAGGTCGTCGCCTTGTTCGGCAAGCCAGCCAGCGGGCGGAAGCTCCTGGGTCGGCGCTGGCGCAGGCGCGGAAAAAGACAGGACGTCGACAATGTCGCCTTGCCTCTCCGTGGATACTGCCAGTCGAACCTGGCCTGGGAGCCCCGTGAAGGGCGGGCAGCTCGCGCCGTTAACGGCAACGGTCATCTCTGCGAGAGCCATGTCGACCTGCACACGGACCACATCACCAACTTGAATGCCGTCGCTCGAGCAAGCCAACCAGGTGTTCTGGCCCTACTTATCGCCGAGAAATTCTACACCTCGGCCACTTTGCCAACTGTAGCCCGACACGCTGCTGTGGTGGCACCCTGTCTGTGTCAGATCGTAGTTCGAGAAAGCGACACCGAATGCTACACTACAGCCAGGCGCTTGACCGCAGCCGGCGGTAGATGCGACATATTGGAACTCCGCCGTGCAAGTGCCTGAACTTATCCATGGGCCAAACGCAAGGGTCTTCCAAATCAATGAGTCTACATTCAGTCTTGTAATCCTCGCGCCAGAGACTGAATATCAGGAGTTGCTCTGCCACTGGTTGAGGTCGCTTGCAAAAGCCGAGGTTGGTGCTGGTGTGGGTACGGGGGTTGGCGCCAGCGTCGGCACCGTGGGTACGGGGGTTGGCGCTGGTGTGGGTACGGGGGTTGACGCTGGAGTGGGTATGGGGGTTGCTGCTGAAACAGGACTTTGATCATAGTCTCCGCCAAAGCAAGCGCAGCACATGGATAAAACAGTGAAGTCGATATCGTCGTAGTAATGACTATTATGGCAGTGCTGTGAAAATCAAACCAATCGTTGCAGGAAAAACTATTTGAGGGGCCCCGTCGTCGGTGTCGACACAGACTGGCGGCTGCCCCGGCGTAGGTGCCAAGGGCACCACATTCGGAGTGTATGGTGCACTGGGGAGTCCAGTGACGTAGTGCAAGCGTCTGGAGGCCGTCGAAAGATTCCACCTCTGGGAAGCGGTCATGCCACCCGCCGTTGGATTCGCCTCGTACATAATGGCCACAAGCCCAGTGACGTGTGCGCAGGAATATGCTGTGCTGAAACCAGTATCCACCGCAGTGTCGCTGGAGTGCGCAGTCGAATGGATCGACGAGCCTGGAGCCCAAACATCGACGCAAGACCCGTAATTACTGTACGTGGACATGGCTGGTGACGAACCACCAATTCCACCATAAGACGCGACAGTAATCGCCGACGAGATGTATGCCGGATTGAACTCGCATGCGTATCCGTTTTCATTCCCCGCAGCCACCACCACGGTCACGTCATCGGACATTAATGCGTCGATTAGTCTTTCCTTTGAGAATCTGGGTAAGATGACCAAGGCATTAAGATCTCGTGTTCACTCTGCTCAGTGGTAGAGGGTACGGGACGCGACATCCATAAGACAAATATCCGGTAAGCGAATGTACTCTATCAGGAACGGCAAGGGAGGAGGCCGGCAGGCCGACAACCGACGAAGTGCGACGGCCGAGGGCGGGCGCGCTCCTTTTATCCCCTGTGCGCTCGCGCGCAGCTTGAGTACAATACACAGCTGCAGATAGTCAGACAGTGCGCAGCAAAGCAAGCGATGTGAACAGCAGCAAGAAGATGAGGCGGAGAGGAGTGTATTTACTCCCCCCGCGGCGGGCCACGTAGAGCCCATCCAGCCACAGCACCCCTGGCCTGTACATATGTACAACCACCGGAGCCAACCGCAAAAGACTTTTACAGCTCAACGGTGGCTGCCAGGGGGCTCAGGGCCGAAGAGGCCCGACGTTTCCCACCCTTAGATAAATAAATTCTCTTCGCCGAATCGGCTTCACCGATCGGCAGAGCTGCATTGCTCGTCCGACACGACTTCGTCGCGCGGCGAGAACTCGCTTGCATGCGCCTGCGGCGACTAAGTCACGCGGGCCAGACTCAATCCAGGCCCCCGAACGGGTTGTAGTCCCCCGTCGGTGGCGTCGGAGGCCTCGGGTTCGATGGCGCCGAGCCTCCAGTCTGTCCCTCGCCGCCGCGAGGCGATCGGGACCTTCCTTTGCCACGGCCAGCGTAGTATGCTGCTCTGTAGTTCTTGTCCTTGTTCTTGGACGCCCCCCCCTTCGGCGGGAAGCGAAAGCCATGTTCAAATAGAGACAATGCGTGCCAAAACTGCGACCACCAGACATCGTCGGACAGCCATGAGATCCGATCCCGATGGGCGTAATACCCAACCTGCACATTGTTTGTGTAGCGCGGGTAGGAGACGAGCGGGTCGTAGCCGGCAGCGCCGCGGCCGACGCCCATGGCTCCATCGCGCGCGCGCGCTGGGGCCTCGACCAATCCCATGTGTCAGAATACCACGAGTATTCCTCTCTTGCCGTCACGGCTGCGCCGGCGGCAGAGCGTGGGGATTCGGCAACTTCGTCGCCAGCCCGAGCGTCTGAGGCGTCGGGTCTGCGCGGCGGAGGTGGCAGCTGCGGCCTATATTTCGCCGCATCCTGTTCTCTTATCGGCCCCGCGGAATCAGCTTGGCTGCCGTGGGGCGGATTGGCATTTCTGCTCTCGCGAACCTTCTGCTCTCGATCTTGAATGAACTTCAGCAAATTCCTAGCAGCTGTAGCTACTGGGATGCCAAATTTTCCGCATGCAGTACGGAACGGGCCTGCGTCCTTATCTTGGAGCTCCGCGCCGGCATCTATGTACCTGTTTTGAAACCAAGAGATGGCCTCTTGTAGTAATGAGCCCTCACGACGAATGTCGGATTGTACTTGTCTACCTAAATTACGGGCCCACTCTTCTATGAGGTCGTCCGTCTGAACCGCAGCGCGAATGCGACAGTCTAGGGCATATTCATCCCTCCGTCGCCTAAACCGAACATTATATGTGCTCCCTCTCGCGGCGCGAATTCTTCGCCCCGGCTAACCGACAAAGTATCCGTCTAAAATGAAGGAGCGCATGATCTCGCGAACGATAGCAACTATTCTTATAATGCGAAGACCGAGTTGGATTTGTTGTACAGGGGCCATCCAGCCCCTTTCAACTATGTTCTTCGCAATAGTTGGGACCTCGTGTTCTATTTCCCCTGACAGTCGCAATCTATCGGCATCATTGGAGTTTGAGCGAACACCTGTGTATTCAACGACATATTGGGCTGCAATCGCCCTGGCCTCTAAGCCGTGTAAAGATATGTATTGAGCTGTCCTCGCAATGGTTCTATGAATAACCGTTGGGCTGATCAGAGTTGCTCGTCCCTTCGGTTATCAGCGTGGCCTTAGGCCCGCTGAGTGTTGAGAAGTCAAGTTTGACCTGTAAGTTCGCGCCTGCCATCGCGGCTTCGCCGGTGGCAGGTTGCAGCATCGGTGCTATGAGGCGACGGTCGCGACACTCATTAGTCCGTCTAGTGACAGAACGAGAATCACGAGTTGGCCTCGCCTCGAGGCTGTTCTCCCAGGCAACTGGTAAAGGTCCGCGAGAGCTTTGCCCTGCGGCGTCCGCGGCGTCTTCCCGCGGCGCAGGCGCCCACGGTGTCCCCATGGAGATCTTATTTATTATCGTCTGAAGTGTCGGGCCGAAGACGTTTTGCCTGGTCATCGCGTGATGCCATCTCTCCCAACCGGTCACCGGTTCGAGGACATCGTCTCGGTAATCTGGCCAGTCGAAGGCTGCCAGAGCCAGGCAAGATATTGGGCGTGCACACTGGTCAATATTTGTTTGCCAAAGCAAGGGCCACCATACCTGGATTGCAGGGGCCTGCGTTCTCGCTCTCGAGGCCGAGAACGCGAGCCATTCAATGAGCCTTCGGGTCAAGGGCTTCAAATACTGAAAGGAAGGGCCATGGCGCGCCGGCGGCTGAGCCGCGGCGTCCGCGGGAACCCAAGCAGGGAAGTTGCCTGGCTGGCTGTTCCCAAAGACCTGACCTGCAGCAGCCATTCGCGTGAATCCCCCTTGTACCCACTTGCGCTCCTGCTGTTGGTTACTGCTGATATTCTTTATCACAATCGCAGAAGCCCTCTGTTGTCTTCTCCCACGCGTACCGATCCAGTCAGCACGCGTATGGGGAAAATCATCTGGGGTTATTCACATAAAATTTAAGTCCATTTGCCTCAAGGGATCGCGGAATGATCTTTCTATTCCACGTCTGGGCCAAATAGTCGTGAGTGACTCTATGTTTACATTTGACCCGACAGTTGCAAACTGGACAATGCCCGAAGCCCGTGCGCACCCAGTGAGATTGGTAGCACGGAAACCTTCCGTCATCGTCCCAGGGGACAGACAGAACGCGTTCTTGCGCTTCGGGTGACAACGGGGGCCTGTGATTCGGAATCAACGATAGCGTCTCGTCAGTGTGAATCCAAGCGATCATTGATTCATTGTCAAAAATCACTTCGTACGAGGCCCACTCGCGGTTGAAGACAACAGACCAGAACATCTGATGTACTCCGGTGTTATCTCGAGGTCCAACTCTAACAAGGGTAACAGCCTTGTCGATATCAGTGAACCTCGGCACCTCTCGAGACACGAGGGTCCCGTCTTGGCAAATCCCATGCGAGAAACGAGTGAGCACTCGGCCAGCGAAAACAAGAATTAGTGGGCAGGATTCTCTGTGATTGGGAAGCTTATCCCATGGATGGACTGTTTCCTCTGCGGGCCATGTCCCTACTGTTGGCAGCTCTCTTTCTTGTGCATTACGGCCCATGGACACGAAATGCCTTGCAAGGAGAGCCTCCCCGTACCTCCGCTGGCTGAGCCACGGAGGAATACGCGTTGCATCAGGCATTGTTGGGCTCCTCTTAGTCGGAAGCAGCCTTAGCAAATCGTAGTCTGCTGCAAGGCAAAGCCCGGAATCTTTCTTCGGAGAGCGTACTCTCCCATCCGTGGACCCCAAGAACGTCTGCATGTCTGTGACATGGAGAAGGGATCCGTGACTCCTGACTTGGCCAGGGTCATATGGGACGTACATTCTTGCAATGGAAGCAACAAGTGGAATGTCCCTGGCATGCGCGATAGAAGACGGGTATGGCAACATCGCTCCTCCCTTTTTCCTGTGAGAGGCACGCCTTGTACTTTGTCCACATGTTGTGAACACTTGTCCCACGGATGTTGTCACTATCTTGCGGGAGTATTCCCAAAACTTCCACTGTCTCCGATTGCAACGCGGCTAGGCCGTGTGCAGCAAGAGCGTATGACTGCAATCTTCTGCACTAGGTCTCCGAAATAGACCCAGCCACCCGACGATCTCGCATAGTCCGAGCAATGCCTCGCGAGGTATACCGCACACTTACCTATGTGCTCAGCAAACTTGTCCACGCAGCAGCTCTGAGGACTCCAAAACTCCATACTGCCTAAGGCAGCTGGATTAGTGTTATCATCAACCCCAACTACCAACGGTTTCAGGCACCTAAAGGTCTTCGGAGTGAACCCTTCTGGGACATCTTCGGAATAAAACTCAGCTCGAAGGAACTCCTTTGCCTGATTAGACATGCCGTCATCTGGGTTGAGGTTGCCCAATGACGCGAAAATCTGGTCTTCCGCAAATTCTGCAATATATCAGAGCGTATTACCTGTCTGATTGCGTATGGCTTCAATGTGCGGCGGAACGGGGCCAGTCATGTGGGCTTCGCGGACCTTCTGTCTCATTGCACCAAGCGTGCTCTGAATGATTCGTCCGCGTTCTTCATTTGAAACATAATGCTGTCTGCCTCTAAACGAGACAGCGTGCCCAACATTAACCTCCTGATCCCCTTCCTGGGGATGCAAAGGCGCGGGCTGACGCTGTCTTCTGCCAGGGGCAGGTGGCAGACTCACTCTGCGGAATAAGTTCTCAGATGCTGGGCAAAAAAGTAGTTCTCGTCTTCCGTGGTAAATGCGGGTTCAGGATCCTCATCGCATGGAAAAGCTTTAACATCCTCAGGTTCAGCGCCTGCTCCCAAGGACCCCAGAGTGCCTGAGGCATCCGGTTTCTGTCCTGCAGAGGTTTCCTGACGCCCGCTCGAAGCGGCCACTGGTGCTGATGCCTTGGCAACAGGTGCAGCCTCATCCTCCGACGGCGCGACCGCGGGGGAAGACTGCTCTTGATATGCCTCAGGCTGTTCAACATGAACCCCCGCAACTACCATCATCTCGTCATGCTTATTTTATTATTGTTCCGCTCTGGCTGGGCCAGGCGGAGGAGTCGGAAGGTTCTCTGTCACGGCTGCGCCGGACGGAGGTGCAGGAGGAGCTACGGAGGTGCAGGAGGAGCTGGAAGTCTACTTCCACTCGCACCATATTCTCCTTTTGCTTGAGGCTTAGACCCCTTTCTCTTTTCAAGTA